TGTTTTTTTGTTTTGTTTTGTTTGTTTTTGAGACAGAGTCTCGTTTGTTGTCCAGGTAGAGTGAGTGCCGTGCGTCAGCCTAGCTCACAGCAACCTCAAATCCTGGGCTTGAGTGATCCTTCTGCTCAGCCTCCCGAGTGCTGGGATACAGGCATGCGCACCATGCCGGCTAATTTTTATATATATATCAGTTGGCCAATTAATTTCTTTCTATTTATAGTAGAGACGGGTCTCGCTCTTGCTCAGGCTGGTTTTGAACTCCTGACCTTGAGCAATCCGCCGCCTCGGCCTCCCAAGAGCTAGGATTACAGGTGTGAGCCACACGCGCCGGCATGTTCTTTCATGTTTAATAAGCAATGTATATTTTCCTAATACCAGCCTATTTTAATATAATTTGGTTAAAATTTCTTCATGGCAATAACCTGCTGTAGCACCTTCAAAACGAGCAAGCATTCTCAAGTTTGTCAGTCATCCCCAATCATGAAGAAACAGCTGTGAAACTTAATGGTAAGTTTAGCAATACCATAGGACAAAGAGCATAAGCTATAAAATACATGGATCTCCCAAGAAGGGAATATAATACCTCCCAGGATGGAACCTAAAGCTCTTTCCCTTGGGGTTAAGGGGAATAATAAACAAGTTCTTGCTTTGCAGCCTGGTTTTACACCACTTGAGTGATTGACATAACCATTAATATAAGGCATGAATGGGAATTTAAAAGATCCCAAACTAGTAGCAACCCCATATGTGTGGTAGAGTTATATTTTTAAGTTTTCAAGTTAAAAAAAAAGTGGTAAAAGATTGTTGACTAATAAAGGAAACTCATTCCTACAGTAAATAGTGAGATCTGTGGCAGAGATGGAAATTGGATTTCCTAGCAAACCTCAGCCTCTGGATTTGGAAATGAGTATGACAAAAGGTAGGACAAAGAAGGGGAGCTCAAAATCAGAGACTCATTTGGAATGATTGGCCTTGTTATCCCTACCTCTGTGAAGCACAATTACCAGCCAAGCATTTAGCACTAATTAGATAAAATAATCAATGTTCCTTGCTAAAGGAATTTAATGTTATGTTTGAAAGTGAGTTCGGAGATTTTGTTTTGCTCACTGTTGAATCCCCAAGACACAGGATGCGTCATGCGTTAGAATCACTTGGAGAGACTGTAAAAACACCGACTGCTAGGCACAGACCCGAAGTTTCTGATTCAGAAGATTTAAGGTAGGGCTCAAGAATCTTCACACTGTGAGAACCACTGATATGGGTGCTGAAAATAAATGCTCGGAAAATATAAAGTTGAATAAACAAATGAAGGGCGGCTAGAGTGAACAACATAAAGTAAAATACTCTTCGTTCAGGCCGGGCACGGTGGCTCACGCCTGTAATCCTAGCACTCTGGGAGGCCGAGGCGGGCGGATTGCTCGAGGTCAGGAGTTCGAAACCAGCCTGAGCAAGAGCGAGACCCCGTCTCTACTATAAATAGAAACAAATTAATTGGCCAGCTAATACATATATAGAAAAAATTAGCCGGGCACGGTGGCACATGCCTGTAGTCCCAGCTACTTGGGAGGCTGAGGCAGGAGGATTGCTTGAGCCCAGGAGTTTGAGGTTGCCGTGAGCTAGGCTGACGCCAGGGCACTCATTCTAGCCTGGGCAACAAAGTGAGACTCTGTCTCAAAAAAAAAAAAAAAAATACTCTTCGTTCTAACAACTGGAGAAAAGAGGAGGCAATGTAGCAACTGACACCCTACCCGCTCACCATAAAACATAAGAAACCCCTAAAGAGAAAGAATGGGGATAGGGTCTTGGGGTTCTGTCAAGCACGTAGTTTCAGGAGAAAGAAAGACTATGTCTCCAAATCCTGAAAAACACGGTACGAAGAGAGGAAATATCAGCATACCTGAGCCATGGCTCACAGAAGGGGTCGCGGAGACCAACTGTAAAACGGCGGACCTGGCGGGGGAGAAAGGCGCCCTGAGCCAACAGGCCAGCGGGGCCGAGCCCAGCCACGGAGCCCAGCTGGGGAGTCCCGTCGCCTCCCGCTCCCGGCCTCGCCACAGCCAGGGCCCGGAGGGACCGTTCCCTCCTGCACCGCCGGGGCTCGGGGCCCGGAACCCTGACCTGCATGCCCAGCACCTCTTCGCGTAACCGTGGCCAGTGCAGGGATGTTTCTGCTGCGCTTTACGCGAAGGGCTTCCGGGCTCCGGACGGGCTCCCGTAGCACCGGGCGGACCCCTTTACCTGCCTCGGGTGCTCCGTGGCCCGACTCTCGGCTCCGCCCACAAGGCTCCGCCGCGGGCTTCGCTGGAACTGCGCCTTCCAGAACCCCAGGGACGAACCCAACAGGCCGCTAGCGTCGGACAACTACACTTCCCGAAGACCACCGCGGCCTCCGTGCGTGTCAGAAACGCCGTTTCATTTTCACTACGACTCCCAGGCGCCCACATCTAGTACAATCACTTTCAGATATTAAAGAGAAAAGTAGAAAGTCCATACATTTGCATATAAATAAAAAATTTGGAAATTGGATGCTTTGAGAAATTACTATGGAGAAAACCAAGATTATATGGCTGTTGAAATTCTGGTAGATATGTTTAGAAAATTAAAGTCCCAATTTCCAAAACGTTGCAAAATTGTTAATCCAAGGAAAAAACACTGCTAGAATCAAAGGTGCAATACGCCATACTGATACAACAATGTGTGCATATGAGAAGTCTTGATTTTCTAAGTTTGGAATGAAGCTCAATGTTGGACTTTTCTGAATTTCATCACCATACAAAAAAATATTAACCTTGTAAAGCAACATTATAGAGACAACACTACAAAATTCTAACCTAGCTAAGGTATAGTTCATGCAATTTTAAAAGGAAGCATACTTATATAATATGTTCTACATTCCCAATGGGAAGTTTCTCATGTGGATAGTAAGAAGGGAAAACAAAACATTTCAAATTATAAAATAATGAAATCTTGTTTCCTAATAACAGATGGTCCTGGACTTACAATGGCTCAACTTAACAATTTTCAACTTTACAATGGTACCATACAACCATTACTTTTCACTTTCAGTACAATACTCAGTAACATGAGATATTTAACACTTCATTATAAAATAGGGTTTGTTACATGATTTTGCCAACTGTATGCTAATGTAAGCATTCTCAGCACTTTTAAGGGTAGGCTAGGCTAAGCTATGCTATCTGGTAGGCTATGTATATTAAATGCATTTTTTTTTTTTTTGAGACAGAGTCTCGCTTTGTTGCCCTGGCTAGAGTGAGTGCCGTGGCGTCAGCCTCGCTCACAGCAACCTCAAACTCCTGGGCTCAAGTGATCCTCCTGCCTCAGCCTCCCGAGTAGCTGAGACTACAGGCATGCGCCACCATGCCGCTAATTTTTTCTATATATATTTAGTTGGCCAATTAATTTCTTTCTATTTATAGTAGAGACAGGGTCTTGCTCTTGCTCAGGCTGGTTTCGAACTCCTGACCTTGAGCAATCCGCCCGCCTCGGCCTCCCAGAGAGCTAGGATTACAGGCGTGAGCCACCGACG